AGAACATGCTGAAACCTAAAAAAATAGCAATGTAGTTAAATACTTCGTGTTTTCCAATAAATGAAGAAGCAGCCGGCGTACAGGATCCAGCGGTGGAGGACAACGGTGTGTTGGGAGCGGCGCTGGAGGCTTGACAGCTTTGTACGGTGTTTATTGACGGAAGGAGAGAAAGTGAGTGGAAGCTGATCAGGCGGTGTGCGCTGTGATTTGTGATGAGAGGGGGTCGGGGGTATACTCATAGTCGTGCATACCGTAGTCGTTAGACCATTGACCTCGCATCCCTACAAAGCCTGGACGGAGCACGCCGGGTTCTCACCGGACCAGGCTCTCACATCACCAAGAGCGAAGCGCCGTGAGGTATTCGGCGAATCGCATGAAGGGTGCGCTGCATCCTGCTAAGGGCTTTCGGCATCTTGTGCTTACTTCCTTGTATACGGATGACAGCTGCGTATGACCTTACTTATTTTCTGGTGCTTTCACTTCCAGAGACAGTTGGAAGCAACGTGTAACTGCATCGAGGGTGCCTGTCCATTTTAACACAACGTGGTGCGATCATCCCCCTTGCGCAGAATGAGGGTTCTCGACCTCGCACACCATGATCTACTCGACCACCACTATGGCTACCGCCAAAAAAACAACAGAGGTAAAAGAACAAACGGTAACCTGGTTGCCGAGTTCACGAAGTGAATTGGCTCGTTTTACAACGTCATTGCCAAGCGGCGAAAACCCGGGTTGCGATGAGAGGGGGGGGTGTGGAAGGAGTAGACAGGAGAAGAACCATCGTGAGAGCGAGTGCGGGCAGCCGAATAATTGCATGCCACGGCAGATTTGTTTTTTCGTGTTGAATCGGACTTTCACCTGCACATGAATAGACACATAATTCTGTACATGACCAGCCCGAGTTGGAGTACTGATGCAGATGCATACACCGCGCCGTAATGTATGAATATGTGTTGTTGCTGTGGTAAATCCATCGGTACGGGGTGCGTTCAGCTGGTGCAGTGATGGCCCGCCAGTGATGACCCGCACCCTTCAGGAGAAAATCAGACATTTGACCTGAATTTCTTTCACAGCAGGCGTAACACAGTCACTCATGCCGTACAGCAGTCGCGAAATAGGTTTCGTGACCGTACGATGAGCACACGTCACGCTAACACACTGCAACAGCAAATCGAGCAGTACAATGTGGCACACCGTGAAGAGGATGTTGATGAAATCCGCCTATCCATGACGCTCCTCACGAACGCCAGACTTGACAACTTCCCCCTCGGTGCAACGCAGAACCATCACAGCTCCAAACGCGAGCTCGGCGAGTCAAGAGAGACCCCTCCGGAGGCCGCTCCTCAACTTGTACATCCGACATAGTTTCTTCTGCCGCATCATCGCTCGAAACATTTCTGTATCAACAAACAGCTGACGGCGGCCCCAGTCAAACTGTATTCTTAAGAACTTTCACCCTGACTGACCCTGGTCGGTCAGCCTGAGTTCTCGATAACTGTAGACACGCCTGAAGTCAGGCAGGGCCTAGGAACAACGTCCTCCCACCATGGCCTTGGGGGCCTGGTCGGTTCACCACCTGGGAGAATAAACAGAGTATAATAGACAGCTTTCAAACTCGATTCCCGTCTCCCGCATCCGAGTTTGGCCAATTTTTGGTGGTTTACTTCCCCGTTGCGGTTAGGTAAATAGACGCGGAAATCTTCATGATGGTTTCAAAGTTGCCCTCCCGCCTTGTTTCGATTTTTCACGGAAGAAAGTCAACCGCCGTCCAGCTGTTGGCTACTTTTTCTGATGCATCAACCAACGCGAGAATGTCCGGCTTCTTACTCGCATGCCCAGAAAGAAGGTGCTCTACGGCTGTTTTTACAACGTCTTGCCAAGAGCGTTAACGAAGCTACGTAGATCCTGACAACACAATAACATGTCATCCACGCGCAAGCGTACGCGCGGTTGTCTTGATACGAAAAAACAAAGCTGGAAAAGAAATACAACTAGAATACCGTGTATACATAAAAAGCAGGCTGTTGCGGCAAAAAGGGTTGATTCAGGAGGCACAGCATCGGATTTCTCACTCGCCAGGCCACCTTTCGACTTAAAAACTGGTAGGATATGGCATCCTACCACTGCTCTCTATCCGTGGAGCGAGGGGGCGGTGGTGTGCTGACATAACGACAAGGGGCAGAACAGCGGCAGCAGCGGCAGAAAGTATCCGTTGCGAAGTTCGGATCTTCTCTAGTTCTTCCCTTGTCTTTCCCAAAGCATTTTTATACTTCGAGCTACACATACGCCTAAATCAATACCGCACAAAGGCCCAGAGTAAGGATAAATGCCGCGCCCAGTTGATCGAAGCAGCACACACAAACCCACACTCCACCGAATGATGGAAAAGGGTGAACAAAATAATCACACTCCAACGGGTTTGAGCTTGAAAGGTATTCATAGAATGCGATTCAGGTAGATATGTGTGTGTATTTCAGTTCTTCTTGCACAAGAAGGTGATGCCGCAGACGCATGAATCTTGCGCCTCAGCGCGCTAGGTGTGTACCCGAGCACCCGCACAGTCACCATAATACAACATAATGCCTGTCGTGCGGCTGGTGATATCGACTTTTTATCCGTGTTGCGATCCCTGAAACTTGGTGTGCCAAATAGAGAGTGGGTTGTTGGTGTTGTCTGATGTAAAAAGAAAGTTTGCTGACTGTTTGGTTCCTCTTTGTCACTGAAGTTCTGCCGCGGGAACTGGGTCTTTACACGAAATCACGCACGAGAACGACGGAATTTCCGCGTCGAAAAAACGAACAGCTCACGAACGCTTTCAAACTCAAAAGGCGGGAATTCCCCCATATTTCCGAATTTTAACGAAACGTTGTTGTTGTTGTTGTTGTTGTTGTTGATGTTTGGTTCCTCTTTGTCACTGAAGTTCTGCCGCGGGAACTGGGTCTTTACACGAAATCACGCACGAGAACGACGGAATTTCCGCGTCGAAAAAACGAACAGCTCACGAACGCTTTCAAACTCAAAAGGCGGGAATTCCCCCATATTTCCGAATTTTAACGAAAAGTTGTTGTTGTTGTTGTTGTTGTTGTTGTTGATGTTGTTGTTGTGTTGTCTTCGCATTGAAAACCGTTCCGCTCTCTCGCTACCCAGTCAATACCTTCGTATGTCTGTACTGATCGCCCCTGTGGTCTAGTGGTATCCTCGTAATCCGCTAGCCGCACAGGTCGTGAGTTCGAATTCCCCATGGGGTGTAATTTTACCAAATTTCCGGATGAAGGCGACACATGTCTGAAAAGCTCTCGTGAGTACCAAACTTCGACGTTAGTACCGTTGACGAGGGAAAGGGACGGCTGGACCCTTCTCGCGGAAAAACAAAATTCAGCACGCACCGTAGAAGGGTGGGTGGGGCATGAAAAGAAATAAACAGAAGAAGATATCCCTGGTGTTTACTGAACCCCCTTCTTTATGTTTTGTTTTTTCTCCCATTATGGGACTCTGTCGTCTGCCCCTCTGGCCCCTGTCCTCCACTTCTACTAGCTAGACGACCCAACCGGGGTAGAATAGGAGAGGGGGGCTGGACCCTCTTCTGCGGTTCATGCCTGAGGTATTTTTATCGCGAGAAGGGTACAGCAATCACTTCCCTCGCGACTTACTACGAGGTCGATTATGGTTTACTAACAACCAGCTTTGAAGCGCGTCGCTTTCATCCTAGACCAGGATGTATTTAGTGAGAAGAACACTCACTTTGCCGGCCGGGACTCCAACCCATGACCTGGCCCTTAGCAGGCCCCTCCTGTGTGACTCTGGATGGTTGTAATTGTACGGAAAAATACACTGAAATATGTAAGACTCTACATACGCTGAACAGTGTTTTACACGTCTCACCACGAAAAATGGGGGACCTGTCGCCATAAAAAATAAGCCAAAAACAGGCACACACTGATCCAACACTCGACGCGGTCGATTCCCGTAGTGCAAGCTAACTTACCCTAAAAAGGTACACTCAAATAAAATGGCCCCGAGGGGTACCTTCAGGTCGTCGAGCACACAGTTCGGCCAGTTCTGTTCCTGTCCCCCTCTCCGTCGCTTCTCCCCCCCTCCCAGTTCGCCGAACATCAGTCGTTTCGGGAGNGTGCCAGGGTAATCCCCCCTCTACCTTCGCGGCTTCCGTCCACTTTGACTTCGGTGCCGTGTCTTTCGGTACCGGGATTCCGA